CTGGTGCACCGGTAGCTACTTTCGGAAAACTTCATACCACAAGCCAGGCTAATTCCACAATGTCCTAATCACAAATCTTGTTTACCAAAAGGACACAAAAAACCAACCCAACTGACTCGAGACGAACCAACCCGAGACGACCCAAGCCAATCGAAGCCAAGCCAATTAAATCCAACCCAATCTATCCAACCCATGCTAAGCAAAGAAAGCCAACTCAACCCCCAATCCAAGCAAAGACAAGCAAAGCTAAGCCAAGCCAACTCAGTCTGACAGAACTCAACCCAACTCAGCAGAATCCAACCCAATCCCATCCAACCCAACCCAATCCCGTCCCATCAGATCCCATCCAACCCAATCCAATCCAACCCAATCCCATCCAACCCAATCCAATCTAACCCAATCCAATCTAATCCAACCCAATCTACCTAAGTCAAGCAAAGCAAAGCCAAGCTCACCCAAACTTACTAAACCCCAAGTTTTAACGAACCCAACCAACTTAACCCATTCCCACCCAACCGAATCCAACCGACCCAGCTAACTCAAGTCAAGCCAAACCAAGCGAACGAAAACTCAGCCAAACCCATTACGGACCAAATCAATACATATAAATGACGGCAGGCCTACGGTGGTGCTGCTGACTACATAGTCTTCACTGCCTGCATTTTCCAAAGCTAGATCCGTGCCTGAGGTAGGACCATGCCAAATAAAAATAAAATGCATTCTTACTTTGAAGAAGCACTGGGATTTGCAGAAGACCTGACAAAGGCCTCTCCATGACAGCCTCTTTGTGGGGCACTGCATTGTCAATCGCCCGTATTAGAAATAAACAAAATCTGACGGGCTGCGACACCCTGGAACAATTCGTGGCTTCAAGATAAACCTCATTGGAGAAAATGTCGTTTTAGTTTAATTTTTATCCCATCTTTCCTAGAAATGCAAGTTATAAGTAAACTCTCTTTTTTAATATAATTTTCCTTATTGCTTGTGGAAATAACTGTTTTACAAACTGACTCTGACGCAACATCAATGTGGAATCATTTCCAAAATCTTAGATTTTTCTTCAAGCCTAAAATTTTGTCAGTCTGCATCTTTATCGACCTGACCAAGGCGTTTGATACTATCAACGGAGAGGCCTTGTGGACAACCCCAGAGAAAGCTGGTTGTCCAAGGAAATTCGTCAGCCTAATCCGTATGTTTCATGACAACGTGTCTGGACCGGTACTTTCTGGCGAAGAAGCATCCGTGACGTTCGAAATCTCAAAAGGACTGAAACAAGGGTGTGTCTTGGCCCCTGTGCTTTTCAGCCTCTTCTTCACCTGTGTCCTCAGCCACGCTGTCAGACACACTGAGGATGGTGTGTACCTCAAGTACAGAATGGAGGGGTCACTCTTTGACCTCCGCCGCCTGAGTGCCAAGACAAAGACACCTGAAAGATCATCCTGGAGTCCCTCTTTGCTAATGACTGCGCCTGCGACTGCGTCATGTGATTGTGGACAAAGATGCCAAAGCATGACACCCGTTCGGCTTCACTATCAGCCTCGGCAAAACAGACGTCCTGTTTCAGGCAACTCCGTTATTTTCCAGTGGATGCCCCTCCATTTCTACCGAGGGAGCAGAATTGAATACAGTCGAGGACTTCAAATACCCCTAGAGTGTCATCTCCAATCATGGCCCCCTTAACAAGGAGATCAATGCCAGGATCTACAAGGCAAGCCAAGCTCTTGGTCGACTGCGATCCTGAAAGTGTACAAGACAGTTGTCCTCATCAGCCTTCTCTACGGATGTGAGCCTGGACCTTGTAGAGGAAACACATTAAGCTGCCTGAATGTTTCCACGTGTGCAGCCTGAGAACAATCCTTGGTATCCGGTGGCAGGACAAAATCACAAACCTGGAGATGCTGAATACGGCAGAAACAACAAGCATACAGGTCATGATCCTGAGAGCGCAGCTCCGCTGGACAGGGCTTGTCATCAGAATGGATGACACCCAGATCCCTGAGCTACTCCTCTATAGTGAACTATCCTTAGGCAAAGAAAGCATGGAAAGCTTCAAAACCGTTTCAAAGACTGCGTGAAAGCCAACATTGCTCATGCTGGAATCCCCTCTAAATAGCTAATGGCTAGTAATCTGAATCGGTCTGGCTGCCATGCTCTGACCAAGCGAGAAAGTGACAGCTTTGATGAGAGCCACCGCGGCAGCATCACAGAGGCCCGGAGAGGAGGGCAGCAGCTGCTAATGCACCCGGGCCCAAAGAACCCAAAGTTTCCCTGCCTCCACTGCGGACATCAATGCAGATCAAGGCTGGGACTCCATATCCTCAATGAAACAACCCAAAGTTTCCCTGCCTCCACTGCGGACATCAATGCAGATCAAGGCTGGGACTCCATATCCTCAATGAAACACACATAGTGCAGTTTCGAAACAAGTGGATTCGGCTAAGACTTTGGTTTCGCTGGTTCCAGTCAGAGATTGATCATGTGGTTTCAACGCTGCTTCAAAATGGCTGTAACCAGCTTGTTACGAAAACGCTTCTAGACCGAAGTCATCGTCGGCCCACCAAGAACAATTTTTTAAACAAAAACTGGACATTTAACGATGTGTTTGTCATCCCTCCATGGCCCTGATGGGTGTATTTCAGGTGAGTAAAATGTACATATTTTTAAGAATAAAACATAAGGGTTCATTTTTACCAACAATTTTATAAAAGAGATTAATTAATATATTTAGTCAACGAAATGTTATTGGAATAAATTAAAATAAATTTAAAAAGTAGCCACAATAAGTCTGTATACATTTAAATCTGTGTTTAATTTTATCGGAAGCTTTAACACAGGATTCTGTTTTCAGCAGCACGGCAAGTGAAACTCTTCCATACAAATAACACTACTGAACAAACAAACATCGCTAAGGGGCCAAGGCAGACGACGTGTGTTCCTCTGCCGCAGTGACTAGTCAGATTTCTTGACGATCCTAACGTAATCAGTATGGAATTGCTCGAGGATGTCAGTTAAAAACGACACTCTCCCTGCAATGGATCATTGGACACGAGATCGTGAGTAATAGCCCCTTTCCACTCCATGGACTAGGTTGGCTTTCTAGTCATGTGAACAAGTAACATTTTGCATGAAACACTGTTTGGGTTGGTTGTGTTGCGATTAATGATAGGTCACGTCTCGTTTTACCGTAAAGTGACTGGATTATCGGGTCTATTCCTAATTTCGAATTTATGATACATGTACCTCCAACCTACCAATAGAATCCCAAATGTTCTGTCGTTCCTTTTACCAAAACGCTCCTTGGGCTCCCACAGTTTTGGCAGCTCCTCAATGGATTTAAGCCGGCGAAGAAAGGAATTCTCTTTTTCCATGGACAGAAACCAACCTGGAACGGAGGAATGATACGCCGTAGGAACTCATTCAACCTATGTTCTTTTGTAACCAACAAACTCGTTCAGACTGGATGGCGTAGCAGAGTTGTGCAAAACTAAAATTTTGTATCGAGAGCGACTTGAGTCGATCCCCAACAAAATATTGGTTTTAGACAGCCGTACTTATTTCAAGCCTTGAGCAATAGTAGAGATAGACCAACGCAACTCACTTCTTGCTCACTTATATTTGAATATACATATATGGACATTAGATAAATATAAATCCGGTCATACTAATGACAAACTAACGAAACTTTGATATGTCAGTCTCAATTGTGATCAAGCATAGTTAAGCAAGGTTTTTGATGGTGTACTTACTTTTTAAACTTCATGGACAACTGGAATATGTCGTTCGTCGCCCAGTGCCCGAATAGGGTGCTGGGAAGGGCTTTTGGCCCTGCACAGATTTTAGTGAAGGAAATACGTCACACGTGGGTATAGCTTACGATGCGCAGAGCATTGCGGGTAAATTTCTGCCAGGCGCGCGAGCTTGCTCAGTGCGTTACGCTAGCGACTGTTAATCAATTTGACATTTTTCCTCTTTCTTCCTCATTGCTGAAAATATTTCCACTATATTTATTCCACTTTATTTATTCATCCAAAACTGATGATTTGAAATATATCGCCAAAAGACACGTGACCACTGATACTTAGTGAGAAGATTAATTACCTCACTGTAATTGTAGGAAGGCTATGTTTTTGTTATAGTCCAGACTTTGCTCGTGTCAAAGTATTGCCGTTGGCGAACCAAAATATTTAAATAATGCTTGCTAACAGGAAGTGCCAACCTCGCGATCACAGTTCGTGTACAATGTAGCCAATCACATCGCAAAGCCATCAGCCCTTCTATAGCGCCCTGTTCGGGCGCTGGGCGCGGCGACGAGCGAACTAGGATATTAGGTTGTTACAATGGCTGTGGAAGAGACCGAATGCTAAAATATTCTTGGTTCTAGGATGTCCTGACTTGATCACAGAGGGCGCTGATTCGGTGATCGTAGTACGGTCTAGAGTGACTACGCATAGCCGCTAGACTGAAACACCGCATCGCTACGGAGGTCTTGCAACCAACAACATCATTATTTGCAACATATTTATTTTTGCAGTCGTTGATGCAAAGGTTGATGCCGAGCGTTTTGGCTATGGCAAAGTGACTAGTGTAGATTAGTGTGGCTACATGTATTTTCTTGAATTATTTTTTTTTAAGTTTTGGGCATATGGAGTTCTTTCTTTTACGGCACGGGTGTCGCGAAGGGCAAGGGGATAGGGGAAACTCAGGGAATAATTGAACGCTGATAACGCCCTCGTCTGCGGCTCGAGCATTCGTAGCGCCCATGCTCCTGAGTCTGTCTTAAACACAAGACCGGCTAAGCACACATTTATTCCCATTCATAAATACCCGTTTCAGTCAGAGAGTCAAAGAAGTCAATGTATGATGAATTTTCAACGATTTTGATCTGAAATTTTACTTTTATTTTCCGGAACACCCCTGTTCATTTGATGGTATATTCCTAGTGCAAGTTATCCAAAAGAATATCCTTATATGGACTTGGCGCGCGCGCGGCAAGCCGCGTGCACACAGACTCTTGACCAATCACAATCATTTAAACTTCCCCGTATCAAGGTGCCAGTGCGTGATTTACACAGCGGGCGTTATCACTTCTCAGTGGGCACTATCAAATGTTAATAAATGTCATGTTGCACGTTGTTGAATAAGAAACTGTCTGAGTTATGAATACCCTTAAATACACACCAGTGGAAGTCATATATTTTGAGCAAACATTTTGTACCGTATTCCTTAGAATGGGTGTAAATGAACTCGGGGCAACTGGACCAATGGAGTCGGCTTGGGAAGGCCCAACGGTCACGTTTTCTCTGAACTGAAAGTATTTAATGTCAAGACAACTTCACATCATTAATGTAGTAAAGTAGGCTGAAGTACGGACTACCTTACAGAGGTTTTGTATAGGTTATCTGAGCATTAGAGGGGCTGCAAATCTCAAGTTATTTTTACCGTCATAGCAGTGTATTGGATAATTGCAGAGCAGTCCCCCGTCCACAAAGTAGTCGTTGGTCTTCCCTTTCTGAACTTTCACAGGACAATACACACCTGATGAAAGAAAGTTTTCAATTACTGCTCTGTGTTCATTATTTCATGGTATTATACAACGAGGCACAAGGTCAACCTAAAGATGTGACAAACATTGCCCCATTTATGCACAGGACTTCATGATGTTCGTGGCAAAACACACACCACATGTACACAAAAAACGGAAGAAATAGCGAAAGGGATGCAATGGACAGTTTCTAACCCTCAGTTATTCTGGCTAGATCGAGTCACCTCACTGTAATGCAATGGGCTCTGTATTAAACAATGATAATTAAACGAGCAATTACAACACGTGCGTCCTTGGAAAGACGCATTATGGGTATTCGTTTAGTTGACCTACAACTTGACCAGAAAATTGATATTGTCAAAAAAAGTTCTGGATTCTTTTGTAAAACTATGTTATTACATGCTATTTTTGAGCGGTGTGCCTGTTAGCTTGAAACCTTTTCTAACACTCTCAATCGACGTGTTTTATTGCCAATATACAGTGGCTTAGATGGCCTCCTCTTTAAAAAGAGCAAACAATATCCGAGTTCGAAGCCATCGAAACCAGGAGGCTTTTCAACCGCCGCTATATATATTTTTTAATGTGAGCTCATGGAGGCATTGCCAACTCAGCTCATCTCATGCTCCTTTCATGAATAAATCGAAACTACCGGGCACCAGCGCTTTTTATACAGAGGGCGGGCACACGAAACAGGGTAACTAAGAAACTGTGTAATAATGAACAATACTGTCAACCTATATCTGTTCTCCGAAATATCCCCGGTAACTGGTCTTCGGCAAAAGTGGCATTCTATTTAACATTCATCTCTCGATAAAAAGCCCTGTAGCAAAAAGTGAATGCTTTGGCTGATTTGGTCGGTTATCTACACTACCTGTCACAGTCCTGCTCTAACCAGGGTAATAGGCCTCTTTTCGCGGTCGTCTTCCCTATAGCTGGGTATACTATGGCTGGCCGTCATTACGAAACATAAGAACCATCCACGATGTGTTAAAATACTCATCCTGCTATTAAAAAACCGAACAGAAACACTAACTGCTACTCAATGCTAAAAAGTGCTATAACTGCTATAACTGAAGGCAAATCCCGCCACCAACCAAGGGCAATATTTCTGTGAAGTTAGAACACCCGTGTGAATGTTTTGGACGATAGGAGAGCGGCCATTTTCTTTTTTAAATACCTGGAATACTGCAGGACATCCTGACAGCTTGTCTGATCGGCATATCGGGGGTCGTCTTAACATGGCAGTACGTGCAGTCCATGTTGTTCATGTTGGTCACAGTGATACACAGTTCCCTTCCTGTTTGCTGGTATAGCTAGTGCAGGGACAGTAAAATTAAAGTGTTTTGGAAGAAACGCACTTTACAGTACACTTGACACCAAAAGAGATGTTATATGTTTTCGCACAAATCAGGAAGAGTATAATGTGGCACATAAAGTGTGTCTCAGAAAACGCCATCGCCTAGACCTCTGAACGTTACCACTTCACAACTCCTCCTTGAAAACAGTGGTTATATTTAGCATGCCCGTCACAGCTTCAAGTTTAATACTGTGGTTCTGAAGTGGTTTTCAATTTTTTTCATTTGTTTTTATAGGAAGAGCGCAACATTATTTGAAATAACATAACTTGAAGGACTTGTTTTCTGGCTTTAAACACTCTTTCAACAATCAGAAAAAATATACGAAAATAATCAAATATTTTGCAAGTATAGGACTTCCAGGAAACTTCGAAAATAAAGTAAGACTCCATAGTTACAAAACGTTTTCGTAACATGCCGTTAAACCTTCTGCTAAACCTTCATTTCTCAAAGTAAAACAAAAACGAGGAGGAATTTTTTAAACTCAATGGGAGATTACCGGAAGGCCTATACGTAAAATGTGCCAGTTGACATTTTAAATCATTGTCTAATCAATACAAACAATTCGTTTGACGTATTCTTTCCTTCTTATCGCAGTAGTAGACAAAATATCCTATTTTTTTGATAATTCAGTCTACCGTATCACATTACTAAGGATTTTCCCAGCTATAATCTGTTTATCTAAATGCAATTCGTCATCATCCTGAATAATGCTAGCCATGCTGATTTCGTGCCATACACGCCTTCATCACATTGGATCCTGATGCTGTCCTCCATACATTGCTCTATCCTCCTCTAAATTGCCAAGTTTCCCTGCAAAACACGGTGCTTCGAATACTGCACACGTACTCTTACTGCAGACAGCTCACAGCTGACCCAACTAAGTAAGCTGTATGTACATGATGTTGATAGCATAGCAAAATTTCAAACAAACCTACCTGAAAAAATTGACAAAAAAATCAATGGTCCTGGAAGAGCAAGGTTCTGAACTTACAAGCCACTGATCCCTCAAGGCCGAGGCAAAACCTTTTGCCCTCAAGTCGTATTGCTAAAGCCAAGGCCCTTAAATCGAGTCTTGTAACCTAAAGGCAGACTTTCGACAGAGGCTTAGCATCAAAGCACGTACTACATCATTAATACAGAATTCAAACCTTTTCTCATTTACATTCGCCACGCCAGTTTTGCATTTCTGGTATATTTCACAATTCTATTGCATTAATAATAACTACAATATGCCGTCCCCAATGTCTCCTCAACCACCGTCCAAAATTCAATCTCGAATTGTCCAGCCCGCTATACTGGTCCGCACCTCATCCCCTGGCTACGCCGCTGAATTGCCAACACCCTCCCCATCCCCCTCCCATCTGCCAACCTCTTCGAATGTCAGGTCACGGTTACCCATCTTGGCCTGGACTCTATCGCCGAACCACTCGTAGATCTTGTTGCCCGGGTGCCAGCCGAACTTCCTCAGCATGTTTGGGAGTAGGCTGAGTTTACCAAATGTGGCGTCTGGAATTAGACCAGGAAAACACTGTCTTTTGAAACCTGGCAGGGTTTACTTCGAGTTATAGTCTTCCTCATCTACTCATTCATTTATAATTTTGGAAATTCAAGGGGAAGCCTTTTAGTTGCCAAAGATATATTCACCCTGGGCCCTAGGGAAATGACAATGAAGAAACGTGGAAAAGATAAATAAAAAAAATAAAATATTTAAATTACAAATAATTTTGAATAAAAAGTGGTTCACTGATTAATCAACAGCACCAAGGTTAAAAGAAGTTTAAAATCACTTTAAAATCACTTTTCTCTGACTCACATCATAAGTAAACGTACACTGCATTTCTTTTGCTTTTGTTGAAACTAAGCTGTAGTGACATTAAGCCTTGATCAAGAGGTTCGTCATTAAGTGCCCCACATTGGCTAGCTCATGTATTCTCCGTAGTATACATGTATACATGCGCGGTGGAAAATCTAGCCAAACAGCGACCTCACGCAGCCAGACTGATATGCAAATCAGCAGACCGGGTGCCGACTTGCGGGTTGGGATTCGAGACTCGGTCGCAGAGCTAGAAGCCACCAGAGTTGCAATGACTTGAACCAGTGACTCGACTCGAGTTACAATTTTGGGTGACTCAACTTTTCTCGAGTCCTGACGAGTACTTTTCTTGTTTTGATCTTTCATTAAGTAGCAACTCTGTTTTCCCGTAGGTTTTAGCATTAATGTCGTTTGGAGACCGTGGGGCTTCTATAATAAGTCTGTAACATTCTTATTTGCTTATCCAAACACGTCCTCTGGCGTATGAACGTCTCTGCTAGCGGTGTAAAAAGCGTGGAATTTGGACTAGCTAATAAACACGAATACATTGACCGCGCAAAATGCATAACGTATATACACGGAGCAATAAGAATGTCTCTGTATAAACCAGTGACCCGATCCATGAAATGAAGTATTGTTAGAATCACTTTTTGTGTATCTCTGTACTCTTCCTCAATGTATCAAGATTGTTTGACATCTTATTTGAGGTACCTCGACTAAAAAGTGCACTTATAAATATTTAACATTGATCAAGCATTTCTGGACTACTGAGGGCGCTTTTCTTTTGATGTAAATCCAGGAAGACATGGTTCATTCTCCATATTTTCATGTTCAAATTTGACCTCCAACTTTGCTTTCTGAAAATATTTCTGTGAAAAGGTTTGCTCACTGGCTTATTGTCACATGCTTACCCAGTAAATTCCCATAGGAAATGAAATCTACGGTAGTAGTGTTTCAATAAATCTAGAAATTTTCTTTGCACAAATCAGTGCAACATCGAGGTTCAGTGTCTTGGATGACATCACAGTTTCGCTAATAAGTATGCAAAGAGTATTAGTAAAAAAACTAAAAATGCTGCAAAACATGGGTTAAAATTGCACAACAAAATATTAAAATATTTCTCATGGTCCCTTTAACGTGCGAAATAATTGTATATGATTAGCAATTAAGTGTTGGAATAAGGCTTTGACGTCAGGTGTGCATGACTTGAGCACATGCAGAAAACTGATTCGTTCTTGTAATCGAGAGAGTTTATGTGGGAAGTAAGTACCACCCCATAGACACTTACCAAGAAATACTTTGTTATCCCAGCTTGAGAACTTTTCGATGTCGTGCGAGTTGTATCCGACAGCCCCAAATGCAGCGACCACGGAACCGGCACTGGCCCCGGCGAATCGTTTGATGTTGCCCCAGTAACCCAACTCTTCAAGAACCTGTGGTCAAGGCATGAAAAGTTTCAGAATGTGATTGTCAAAAATAACAGCTTTGCCTCCAAGAAGGAAAACTCTCGAAGTCTACCGTCAGCAGATTTTGTAATGCATACAATAATGCAAAACGTAGCACACAATGATTGGAGAACTTCAAAAAATTTAAGCTGATATAAGTGTCGTTTTTGCGAAACATCCAACACCGTCTAATAGAATGAAAGTAGTTTTTCTGGCTGAAGAGGTATTTGTAGCAGTCTGGATACCAGATCCGATGATTCTGACTACCTTACGACTCAAGGGTCCGGTTTTACCCAATGTCCACATGACCAAGTTTTCTGGAAATAACCGAATGATATTCCGAAATCATCCTGTCTAAATTCGGCATGTTCGGATTGTACCGTTGACGGTCGGTTATTCCTGGCCGGGTAGATAGGCTAGCTGTTGAACGCATCCTACAATAGTTGACTTTATTCACTGAAATCGAGGGTCGCCTTGGCCAAAATGAAGAATTTAACTTTCTTCGACCAATGTAGGCTTTACGCCTGAAACATGCCCTCGGTGGGGATACACTTGCAGTCAATTGGCCACTGTATGTGGGAAAGCCTCATTTTATGAGATGTTGCCACAAATCAAAAACACCCGGGCTCTCAACTTCTGACCCCTGACCCTTACGTCATATATATTTATACCATGGGTGATGCATGACCTACGAGATTTTATCAAGAGTCGTCAGGGAATCTTTGGGCAGGGAACCAGACTATATTTGTAGGGGAAAACGTTAAGACGAGAGAACGACATTCAATTTACCACCAAGCAACATAAACACGATTTTAGGACCATTTAACCAAACCAAGATAGAACTAGTTCGACCCCAACCAATTATACTCTTTTTTTCTCTCCTTAAGAATGTCCTTGTGGGGTACTATTCGAGTCAGACATTCGAGTCAAAAGCCAATAGTCTATACACACTTGCTAAGTTGCCCAATTGCTAAGTTGCCTGTGCGAATAATGATACACCCTACAAGAAGGCAATCCAATTGTAGGGTACTATTCGTAATTGACGGGCGGTGTAGGGCCTATTACTGTTCCTAGTTTATAAGCTTCCCACAAGTGCCAATTATATAAGAGCACAAACATCATTTTTGGTACTAAGACGATCCTGTCATGTCTTTCTGTTCTTCATATTGGACTTGCGCTTTTCCTTATCGTGTCTATGAAGTTTATACACAAAAGCAGCTTGAACTATACTCCTCAGGGATACTGCTTCCTCATTGGAGTCAAAGATCAATCACATGACCACTCGCGCATGACCACCAAACCCACAAATGCACTTGAGGGGATATACACAACACCAAAAAACCAACGAAAGTTGGTATGCTTATCACCTTATTCCTTGGAACACGAAAAGCATGTTTTCACAATGCAGTTAAGATAACAAAACGTTCGCCCTCACCAATTGCTTAAGTTTCCTATTTTTTTCATTGCAGACATTGGAGTCAAAAATCAATAGTCTGTGTTGCCCTGTTGTGCGATTAATGATACATTCCACAAGAATCCGCCAAGTAATATTTAATCTATCCTGAAGAGTGCATGGGGCTAATATTCTTGGTATCTTGATATTCATTTTCCCTGATACATGGGAAACAAAGAGAAAGGGGCAGCCACTGTCACAATGTCGTTCTCTTTCTGTTAGCGATGCGCCAAGGAGAACTATGATAACACATTCACGTCTGTATAGACACTCAGACGTCATAGGGATTGTACCAAGGCATTCCAGTGGCGATAACAGTTGACCCCGCAGCAATTAATACTTCATCCTTGGACACAGACTTAGGAAGTATTTCGTGGCTGTATTGATAGCCAAAATCGAAAGACTTGACGTGGGATTTTATGAGCATAATGTTTCATTGTCGTGCATTCCTTTCCTTAGTCTTATCTGATTTGTCTTGAACTTTACATCTATCATCATCAATATCAATCTCTCCCCCCAAATGACAGCAGTTAAATTAGCCTCCTAAATCAAATTATTAATATAGCATGCTCTCGTTCCGACATGAAATTAAAAAAAACTCAGGATTTTTCAAAAGGAGGTTGGCAGTAATGAAAATGGGTACATGCATGAACACATATAGAGCACTTAATGTTACGACATAAGGTTACACTTCTTAGCTGTATCTAGTTTGTGAGAAACATGTTACTTGCATGCAACACTGATTTTTAAGTTCAACTAATACCTGTACGAGGACAATAATTACCCTGCTTCCACATGCACCTGTCATCATCGCCAGAGAATAGACGCGGAAGCGAATAGATGAAATGTTGCATGAAAGTGGTTCATTGCAATACAGGCAACACTTTTAGAGATTCCAACTGATTTGTTTGTAAACGTTTCAGAAAATGAGTGTGTGGTCAATATGAGTGTGACCTCAACTTTTCTATTTTTCATCGACGGTTCAGCATTTCCACCGTGCAAGCGCACGGAGGAAAAGGGGGAAAAAGGTGTTCGAACCGAAATGGCATACAGATCTCATGACGATCCATTTATGCCGTGTGTTTACATTTTAATATAAGGTGAAGACCCCAAACACAAAACACACACCAACATTGCTGCATTGCATAGCTCCGTCATTCGCTTGTAGTTTAGAAAAAGTGACGAAAATGCTCTTTTTTTCTTGAACACGGAAAACTATTTTAAGCTGTTTGTCACATCTTCCTTGATTGTTCTTCCTTTTACAACGGATAACCCTCAGTCCCAAAATACTGAACTTGTTTTTCAGAGAGGGAGAGATTGTTAAATGTACTTTTTTTAGGTTTATAGGGGAGTCTCTTTTAAGGCTGCGTGTGGAACCAATAAAAATACATGTAGTTTATAAAAACTTAAAAGTAAAAACTGGAAACTCGAAAACTATTCATGTAAATGCCTTAGATACTTTTCCTATTCGGCAACAAACAAAGTGACAGTGTATGATTAAAACATTTGATAATGCCCACTGCGATTTGCTGGCATACGAGACAGTTTAATGGTCCCTATTGGTCAAGAAACTCGCCATGCACACGCCAAGTCTATTCAAAGGAACTTCTTCTGGAGTACTTGCACAAGGAAATGGATGCAGTTGTTCAGGACTAAAATGACACCGACTTCTTTTGACAATCTAACTAAAATGATTTTTTATGGATGGGGATAAATATATGACTGGTCAGTCTTAAACTAACGATTAAGACTGGCTCAGGAGACTGTATGAACGCTGATAATGTCCCCGCTCGGGCATTAGCCCCATCCATTCTTCTGAGCCGGTCTTTGAAAAGACTTTAAATTGTATTTTTCAAATTAACTTCATAGACGGCTTGTATGTATTAAATTCAATTTTGTTTGTAACGGGGCAAGCCTCCCGTTTTAGGCCAACCATGAGAACGAAATGCTAAACAAAGTTCAAGTGGGTGTAAACACACACCACTTTAAGTGCTCCTTATGTAGGTGCGCTTTCCGTGCAAAATGAGAAATGATCCAGTACGAAGTTTCAGCACAGGAAACGGAAAAAAGACGTAGTTTCGTAATATCCAATGACATAATGTTTAAATGATCTTAATGAGATGTACGTATTGCCAGGTAGGCACCGGTGTGTATCTGGAGGTCAGTTCCAACGCTGGACATGCCTTGGACTTGCACTCGAGGCAGTGACAGTCGGTGACAAAATTTTGCTGCAGTTGACTACCTTAAAAACGGGCTTACAAACGAAAAACATCGTTATGAGGAAGTGTCGTGATTGTCCATATGGATGAGTATCTTTCACAATTTTCACATCCCCCACTGGCTGTTTTTAAAGTCAGAAGTAGGTTCCAAAATAGAAGAAAACGAAATTATGCATGCATAATATTATGTTCATAGAGCAACATTAAATTACTGGAGGGCTATAGGTTCCCGTTCCCGGTGCTTGGTTTTTCATATTCATGAGCAGCCTTCCTCACACATGAATTATCAATATCCTGAATATCATGTCATAGGGTGAAAATAACCATACTAGAATTCTGCAAGAGTTACCTTTTCCCCTTTTTTTGCACGGTAGGCATCACAAAATAGGATTTAACGTGCGTTAGTCCAAAAGTACTAGTTAGTCCTCAGCTCTCGCTGTCTTACTCTCTATCTGCCTATTCTTGTAAATCTGCCCATCTTCTTGTACAACTTAGTCAAATTTAGCCTAGTATCATGCATAAATCTGTTTAGAGTTTTGTTACTTCCATATCCCTATTTACTTTCTCTCGGTCTTCCAAAATATCCTGCTGAGTATCATTATCTTTTAAGGCCTTGTCACACTACAGCCTTTCAACCCAGGTTGAACTCAACCCTGAGCGAGCCCATGGCCGCGCCCTGGGTTGAAAATTGAATTTTTCAACCAAGCATTCAACCCAGCATTGTTTCACACTTGTTTCGTGTGAATTGAGCTTACTTGGATGAGTTCAACCCCGTGAGCACAAACAATTTTCAACCCGGGTTGAAAATCTCAACCCTGGTCCGGAGCAGGTGGGAGCAGGGATGAAAATTTTCAAGTGTGAATCGCCGCCAGTTTCAACCCTGTGTCAACCCCGAGATTTGTCCAGTGTGAAAAGGCCTTTTGATGTAGGTAACTTGGCAAGAAGTCTTGCACTTATTAAAAACATTTGCCTGACCGCCAAAAGGGTCTTTCTATTGGCCTTATCTCTGGCTTGATCTTCCGCCACACCCCTGTCGGTGTTCTTTTAATGGTTTTTACTCCAAATTTCCTCGATGGCTTCCTTTGACTCTTGTAGCCAATCTATATAGGCGACATTGTCTTCCAAATCCGCCAATGAGCAATGAAATGAGCCAATGAGAAATTGAAAGAGCAAGAAAGTGATGAAATTTGCAAGAAATGAGCAATCGAATGAGCAAATGAACAATGGAATGAGCAGTTGTTCTTTTTTAACTATTTTTTTTCATTTAAAGATCATCCTTCGTAGGGTCAACATGAGTGTTATTTCTGCAGTCATACTCCATGCTTGTCACTGGTGTGAAAAAAGATGGGCAGAGACATAACCTGCGGAGACAGGTGGAAAAAACAAAGGAACAGAGGAATGCTGAAGGGATGAGGTTCGGCGAAGATCCTGAAGTTATTCACTATGAATACCCTGACGTGTTATTCTGAACCTGACAAATATAGCCTTCTGATAGCTCTCTGTGAACATGCATGTACAGTGGAACGCCGCTATAACGAACAAGACGGGTCCACGCTACAGCGGACGTTCGGGGCAGCGAAATTAACTGCCGAACGTTTCCTGCCATGTTGAATAGGGCCCTGTCTTGCCTAACTGAAGTATGGAATTCCCTATCTGCCGTCGTGCGTTGTGCGTCGTCCGTCGTGCGTCGCCCGTCGTGCGTCGCCCGTCGTGGTTTTTTTGTCACGATTGCGCAGAGGTATTTTTAACTTTGACCCTTGATCGTTTCACATGTACATGTCCTTGTTCGATTGATCCACCATGCCTGACTCTCATTTTAGCAACAGAACTAGAAGATGTACAAGTATTCGTGTTTGAGTTGCGCCAAACTCCAACTGAAAGAAGAAAGAAAGAACGTGTATATGAAATAATACCGTTTTGGTATAAATAAATAAATTCACAAAATAGACTTTTGTTAGGGTAGATTGTTTTTCTCGATAACTTAGTTACTCTAGACGTAACTTTACTTGTTAACAGCCTGATTTTAGGTCTATAGCCTACGTAATATTTCTGTCTGTCCCTGCACGATATCCCACAGAGCGGAATGTAAATAATAGATTATTTACAAGGTTTGATTCCTTAATAATTTTCATAAGAGACGAACTGATTCAACATTATTTTGAGGGAGGGTATACCTGTGATGAAATCTGCTGTATACTCCAAGTTAGACATGACTTTCGTTGCAGGTTGGCTCACAGAAGTCTTTTAAACAGTAACGTTACTTGTTAGCCCCCTAAATAATGCTGATGTGCTTGACAACCTGCTCTCATTGGTCTATCCACCACGGCATACACACCCACAAAAACCAACACGTCATATTTTCTGAAACTTAAACCAAGTGGTAATTGCCACCTAACAATACATTTTAAAAACAGTTTGTTATCCACAGCACGTCTAGTATGTCTGGATATCAAGGTGAAATTGAGAGAACAAGATTGAATGTATGTATCGGTTGGCAGATTTCTTCCTGGAATTTGATGAAAACAAGTCGGCACATTTTTACAGTATGCAAATTAGAATAACACTGTGGATCAGTTGGCCGGAACATTTTTGNAATGCTGATGTGCTGGACAACCTGTTCTCATTGGTCTACCCACCATGGCATACACACCCACAAGAACCAACACGTCATATTTTCTGAAACTTAAACCAAGTGGTAATTGCCCCCTAACAATACATTTAATAAACAGTTTGTTATCCACAGCACGTCTAATATTTCTGGATTTCAAGGTGAAATTGAGAGGACAAGATGGAATATCTGTATCGGTTGGCAGTTTTCTTCCTGGAATTTGCTGAAAACAAGTCGGCATATTTTTACATTATGCAAATTAGAATAACACTGTGGATAAGTTGGCAGGAACATTTTTGCTGAAAATGTTTTTCCCAAAAAAACACTTGGTTGAATTCTCAAAGAGGCGATATTTTCTTGTCAAGGGGCAGGGGTAGTCTAGCATTATTGGAATTAATTATGTGACTAGTATATGCTTTGCAGGTGGGATTTGTACTTGCCTTATTCGGAAAAGATCTTTAGAAGTGAATGGAATCATCACATTGTTATTTGTTAAACCCCGGCTTTTGCATGTCCTATGCAACCCGTTTGATTTTTGATGGGCGACGCACGACGGACTACGGACGACGGAAAATGGCATGTTTGGAACTGGTAAATGGCAGAATTGGGACACAACAAAAAGCAAAATGCGACGGACGACGGGCGACGGCAGATATGGAATTCCATACTGAAGTGCACCCTCTTGTGATAATGCTTCGCAGTTTTCCCGATGTTTTGCTGTTGCACTCACGTTTAAGGTGCTCTGGCCGTTACTAGAAGACGACTTCGAACATGTGCCGACCAGTGACTCATGTTATTACATGTACCCAGTTTCTCAGCTAGCTAATTACAATGAACTCTTCAACAACTAGTGGCTTTCCCTTCTAACCCTTGAGGAAATAATGGTCATTTGTCATTCTCCAACATAAAAACACCGACTGTTTTATCAAGTTGGCGTTTGGGAATTACAAACGGCAACTGCATAATGTTCGGTAGGTTTTGAGCACAACATATTGGGATCCAAAGATGATGTTCAGTATAGATAAATGTTTGGTATAGCGGTGTTCGGTGTCGCTGCGTTCCACTGCACTAGTGTTGAAGGATATCACAATTTTATCATTAAAATACGATGTTGCCCCCAAATTGGAATCGCCTATATGCGCTTTCAAAAATTATCGAAATATGGGATATTTCGGTTTTTTATCAGCGATTTTCTCAACCTGAGTCTCCCCCCAAAATAAACCAAGGAAACTGTTTTCCCTCTCAAGTTACTGGCTTATATCAACTGGGTAAAATCTAATCTCTTTGAGGTTTTGCTATAATGTATGTAAGGTGTCAAACATCAGGTATTAAGATGATTAAATGCTAATCATTTTAAATAAGCATCGATTTTCATGAAAGGTACACACGTACCAAGACTCAAGCGCAGCTGTAATGGAAATTCCTACAGGTGTTTCAGATCTAACACAATGTAAAATTTACAGTATATTCTAGTAACGTGCGCATATTAAAATCATGTCATTATAACCCCACGTCAATATATTCTTATACGGGATATATCGTTTTTTATCAGCGATTTTCTCAACCTGAGTTTCTAAAAAAATAAATCAGGGAAACTGTTTTCCCTCAAAAGTTACGGGTTTACGTCGACTGGGTGAAAGCCAATCTCTTTGAGATTTTGCTATAATGTATGTAAGGTGTCAGATCTCAGATATTAAACAGATTAAATGCCAATCATTTAAATAAGCAGCGATTTTCCTGAAAAGTGCACACGTGCCAAGACCCAAGCGCAGCTGTAACGCAACTTCCTACGGGTGTTTCAGATCTAACACAATGTAAAATGTACAGTGTAATACTTATTACCGCTAATTGGTCATTAGGGAGACATTCCCATAAGAACTTTACTGTCTCATAATTCAATATTCCCTAATCTGATCTGAACCAAGCTTTGTATGTTTTCATTTTAGGCCCTAAACTATCATCTCTCCAAATA